AAAAGAAATCAAATGATGTATTGCTTCAAAGACCTATTTAAAGTAGTGAAGAACAAAGATGTCTCTTTGAGGACTAAGGTGCACCTGACCAAGTCATGGTTTTTTCAATTGCTTCATATATATGTGAAAGGTGGACAATGATTAAGGAAGACTAATGAAGAACTGATGCATTATAATTGTAGTTTGGTGAAGAATCTTGAAAGAACAATGGACTGCTAAAACAATGACAAATCTGTCTTGGAAGAAGTAAGCCAGAACATTCTTTAAACATAGGATGATGAAATTTCATGTCATGCGCCTTGGACATGCTGTCAGGAAGGACCAGTTACTAGAAAAGGATATCATGTCTGGTAAAGTGTATCAACAAAAAAGACCCCCAACAAGATGGAGTGGCAGTGGCTGCCACAATGGGCTTAAACAAAACTAGAACTCTGAGCAAGGTGCAGGACCCAGCAGTGTTTTGGTCTATTGTGAATAGGGCAGTTATGAGCCAGCATCAACTCAACAGCACCCAACAACAATATGCATGAAGTTACTATATTACCATGCACAACCCTGCTATTACTCCCTTCTCACTGTAACTCAATTCAGGTATCTGCATTGGGGGCCATTTTTTAAAAAGTAGTCAAGCAAACATTGTCTTACCATACTTTGGAAGCATTTCAGATGACCGCCAGAATACCCAGAATTAGAGTCAATGTCCTCTGGATTTCTCTGGCTCAATTGCCTATTATCTGGAATTCAATTTCTGGTTTTCTAACTGTATCATAAATTTTATGAATTCTAGAGCCTTCCTCAGTTTTAAATTAAAAATGCCACATTTCTAAAGCATAGTTTTGATGTAACTTAACCTACTAAAAAATACTATATGATTTCTCCTTATTGCTTAATGAATTTATGAAAAGCAAAAATTGTAACACTCTTGTATTGGTATTCATGGCATTATATTATACTATCCAAAGATCCTTATTTCACAGTATTTCCTACTATTCTTTTCATAATATCTTTCATTAATGCCAAATTGAATGCTGTTCTTCTCTAAGCATATCCTAAACATTTTATTTTACTTTTGCTCATATCTAGTCCTTTTTCAAAAGAACGTTTCTTACTAAATCTACCTTTTGATTTATCTGCAGATAAGAAGAAAAATAAAATATAGTCCTTATTATCTAAGGAGTTCACATAAACAGTTGATAAATTATAATACAATAGAATTAATACATCATTGTGGATAAATACAGTATATTAAAGCATCAAAAAATTACCTCCAAAACACACATACTAAAAAATATTTACACTGTAAGTGCCCAGATATGAAAATCAAATTATATATTCTTTAAAAAATATTAGATCTGTAAAAACGTTCCCAACTCACAGTATCTATTCTATTCTCATCCATTTCCCCTTCCTAACGTTCATTTTGTGGACCTATAGGGTAAGTGTTAACCGCAGGTCAGCGATTCAAACCTACTAGTCACTCCTCTTAAACCATATACAATCTTGCTATGAACTGGAAAAGACTAAATGGCACTTAATAACAGCAACAGCATGTTCAAACCAATCCTGTTCTCTTTACCCAAAGTATGATGGATTATTTGTATATAGTTTTAAGTAAATTCAGAGTTCAGCTAATAATACTAATCTAATATCTTATTTTATCACAGGCTAGCACTACTCTGCAGGCCTCACTTTGAGCAGAACTGACTATAATACAAATTGGTAGTTTTACATAACCCAAAATATTCTCTTTTCTCTCTTTTTGTCAATAAAAACAAACACAATGAAGCAAAACGTTTAACTTACAATTTCCTAAGTAAAACAACTGTTGTAAAATAATTCAAAGGATACGTATTTCTGTGACAGGCTTCAAAGAGCCTAAATCTTTTTCAATCATCCCTAAAAAAAAAAAAAAATTCTAACATAATCATATGAATAAAAAATATTATCAAGAAAAATTGTTTCAGTGAGAGTTACATAACTCTTATCAAGAGCATATTTTTCAAAAATAATGTAACATAAGAAAGAAATGCAGAAAATGTGTAGAGAGGTAACTTACTCAAATTTACTATAGTTTTATATTATTCCCTATGCTAAGAAACACAATTTGTACTTTATAAAATGAACAAAAAAGGAAAGTGATTACCTTGAGTAGTATGAGACCAGGATGCAACTGAAAAAGATGGTGCTTTTAATACGCCTTCTCTGATATCAGAGGCTGAAAAAGCATCACTTGCTGTAAAAAGATTAATGTCTGAATACTGGTGTTTCTGTTTATTATTGCTAATGTTCCATGATTTCCCTTTGTTAACTTTTGTTTGGACAATATTCACTGAGTCAATGTGAGAATTCAAATTTGCACTTCCATGTATGTTGTCAGATGTTTTAAATAATCTGGAAAGAAAAAACAATTTTTTAAATTTGAAATAGTGCTTAGAATGTGAAACGTTAACATAAAATTGGTTCCCTTAAAAATACCTATATATTATGATTTATTCAACCAAGAAAAGCTAATAATCCTCCTGGATTATGGCCTTGTAAGTTTAGCACTGAATGATGTCTTTTTACTTTCATAAAACTCAGATAAATACATTTGTGGTAGCAAGCCACCTAGATGGCTCTTCTGATTCTAGCCTCTTCTTATGTTGAATTAGGGCTGGTCTGTGTGACTAGAATGATACTGTGGAAGTGCAAGTGTGACTTCCACAGAAGGGCAATAAACAACATTTCACTTCCATATGGTCTCTTATATTGCTTACTCTAAGGGACACTGTTGTTGTTGTTAAGTGACATCGAGTCAGTTCCGACCCATAGCAACCCTGGATAGGGTTTCCGCAGAGCAGCTGGTGAGCTTGAACCACCAACCTTGCAGTTCAAATGGCTTCACAGTCTGGTGCATTAACCCACAGCGCCACACCACCAGTAAAGATTCACAGCCTCAGAAACCCTGTACAGGGTCGCTATGAGTCGGAACCGACTCCACAGCACACAGCCACCAAGGGGCACTCGCCAACCATAATTCAAGCAACTTTATGAGAAGGCCTATATAAAACTCTGGTAGCGTAGTGGTTACAAGTCGGGCTGCAAACCTTAAGGTCAGTGGTTCGAAACTACCAGCCGCTCCGCGGGAGAAAGATGAGGGTTTCTACTCCCGTAAAGATTTACACCCTCGGAAACCCTGTACAGGGTCGCTATGGGTCAGAACCGACTCGACGGCACTTAAC